GAGGTAAGATGACAAGAATTTACAGAATATCAAATTAAATACAACAGATTACAAAGTATCTGATTAAATATATGCAGTATTTATGGGCTGGTCCTGGGTTTAGGCCCCAGTGAAGGCTGGAATGTTTTCACATGGACTTCTGGTAATTTCCACTGGTCTCTGGGGAGTAGGATGGGACACCCGTGTGCATTGTTGTGCATGTAAAAAATGCCTTGGCAGGCGGAAAATGAAAAGAGTAGCTTAACGGCTCACTGGTGCTACAGAGTTCATGCACTGTGCTGAGATTCTTCGAACTCAGGCTTGGGTTAGAAGTAGAACAGAGCACTTATGGGTTACTATCCTTGTACCATGATGTTGATCCATTGTTCAAACAAGCAATATTTATGGTTAATAAGACATAAGTACTTGATTTTTATTGATTCCTTTACCCAGAAGTAAAAAGACTGAATGTATTCTATTCAAACAATGGGCACAGCATGGCACATAGTTGAAAACATGTGCCGACACACATAAAGAATTTCTGAGAATACATAAAGAACAAAATCTACTCATAGACAAGACACTGATGAGAAACATTCTTCACATGTTTAAGTAGAGACAACATTTAAAAATATTTATTGTTCCTTTTTTCTCAAATGAATATTTTTTTATCAAGTCACCTTTCATTTCACAGTTCAAGTCATCAAGCTTGTATATAGTCAAGCTCTTAACATTTACATCAAATGAAGTTTCAGTTTCATCAAAAATGTTTTGGTCACTACTGTCTTCATAGCAAAAGTGTTTCAGTAACAACTGTTTGCCAACTCCACACTAAAGGTTAGCTACAAACTATCCACTGTTGTCTTTGATGGACCCCAAAGTCTTCCATGGTGTGACTCTCCACCCAGAATATTCCTAGAACATTGTTAATACCAAATTTAGACTCGGTCAACCTTGGAGACATAGTTAATTATAAAAACCTTCTGGATGCAATTAAGAAGAGTTTGGAGGCAACTGAGATGTGGTTCTAGAGAAGAATGTTGTGAATACCTTGGACCTCAAGAATAACTAACAATCATTTCCTGGAAAGGGCTAATGAAATTAGAACATTATATACAACAATAATAAGGAAACAAAATTTTCAGGTCATGTGATGTGAAAAGGAGCCCTGGAGAATATCGTGATGAGTGTAAAGATCACCCGTAGAAGAGGCAGACCAAGAGAAATGTGGATGGTTAAGACAGTGGCATGGAGGAATGTCATTAGTGGAACTGATCCAGAACACCAAAGACTGAGATCTGAGTAGATGTATGAACGCCTATACCAGCTGGCAAGCCACTTGTTATGATGATGATGTCTAGATGCAGATTCAAACAAACCCTTGAAACCAGCTGGCAAGCATCTAACCACAGGGCAACCAGAGCTCTTAGCTTTGTTGGCATCTTTCCATTTTTCCAGGCAAATATTGGTGTGATATGGTTGACAGCCGGCTGACAGTTGAAAAGTTATTTGTTTCCAGCTAAGTTTAGCTGATGCAAATTTTCTATTGTGGGCCAGGAGTCCAAAGATTCTGTCACCTAGCTACTGAGCTGAGTGCTTGATGTGACACTGTGAGATGTAGATTTAATGAAAAAATTTATTTTGCCTGCGGCCTGTTGTTGACTTCACTTGAATGGCATGTAATTTTATAGGTGCAATGCTGGCTTTCTTGACTGACCACTTGTTCCAACAGTGATGTGCAATTCTGGTGTGGGACAATTAGTGTCGGCGAATCTGACAACTGCTTATGCTTTTTTTTTTACTTTGCATGTACAAGCTTCAAGATTTAGCTGGAACTGACTATTTCTTTCACTAGTTTTCACATGGAACAGTTAAGGGACATTTGGTATGATTTCTATTAAAACAGGAACAGAGCAGTTATAGGGTGACTTATATGCAACAATGTTGGAGCCTCAGTTAATGACCAGCTGTGTTTTTTTGCTCTATAGGG